CAGGCTGCCAGAGTGAGCGGGCTCACCCTGCCAGTCTGGTGACAACGAGTGGGGCGACGGGAAGGAGGTGGAGAAGATGACGAAGGAGAAGAATAGGCAGAGGAAGAGGAAGAAGAGGTAGGATGAGGAGAATGAGTATGGTTGTTGTTGTTATTGGTATTATTGTTGTTTCGATTTTGATTGTTTCGACCATGATTAGACGTCTGCGGCCCTGGCTAGCCTGGAGACGGCGTGGTACCCAGCAATGTTTAGGCCACCTTTTCTAGGCCCTTCCCCTCGTGGGGGCTGGCAGTGCCATCCCTGAATAGGGCTGCATGTGCCGTTGTGGCACGGCCGAACTCCACTATGGGACCACGACTTCGGGTTGTAGTGGAGAGCGACTCGAATTCGCCGTAAGCCGCGGTCTCCGATGGCGTATATGGGCGCGTCAAGGCGATGTCGATGTGGAGATCCATCTCGTCACCGGCTGTCCAGCGGCGTGCAGAGACGAACCACGTCACGACGGTGCCGACGCAAGGTTCCATCCGACCTTCCACCCAGCGGAATCCGCAAACCCTGTGCACACGGCACAGCGCACAGGGCCCCCTCACCTGGTTTAGCCCGCCGGTCGAGACGGTTGCCCGGGGTGTGGCCGCTGAGCAGAGTCCAGCTACGTGGAGCCACAGGTGAGAGTTGAGTGCCAGCAAGTGGACGCTAGGCGCAGTCTCACCTGCAAGCAAGTGAGCGACCACCACGATCATTACGTGAACCCACCGCTGACACCCCTACACCCCTTTGTCCGCTTACTGTCTAGAGTGCTGCCACACCCATAAAACTCCCTTTACCATAAATCGCGTATGGCATCATTCTCAGTCTTCTGACAGTTAAGTAGGGTCCTTCTCTATACCGTTGTCAGTTTTGCTTAAAAAACCGAAAAAAACCCATATTTTGAACAGATACCAAGACTGTCTGCTGACTTCAGATCCAGCTAGGTTTAGCGGTCCGCCGCACTCGTAGGGGACTCAAAGACCGCATCATTTGACTGACCGGCTCATATTGTGGACTAGTGATTGAAAGTGGGAAGAGAGAGGGAGTGAGGCCAACGGTTTCAGTGCATTTTCCTCACTATAATCAACCCGACGCGCGTAAAACTATTATGGTACGCTAAAAGCCGTGGCTTAAATGGTTGCGAACCGATGGGATAATTCAGTCCTCCTCTCAGGGTAGAGAGTCAGGCTGCAATGGTTCCTACTTGATACGATCTTTATGGAACTCTCACCCAGTTGGCTGCAGTGGCTCCTTCTTAATGTGGTCCTTAAGGCACACCCGCCCATTTTGGATCCCAGTCGCTCTCCCCCTCCATATTGTGTGAAATCCTGGTTCTTTGTGCACGGAACAGGGGATGAGGTGGTACGTCTAGGCGCAGGTTCGCGCCGTGCCAACCAGTTGTTCCCGACCCCCCCCCTCCAATTTCCCTGACTTTGACACCTGGCTGATGCTGACGTGGCAGGGGTGAGTGCGGTAGATGCAGCGCAAGTCTGCTATCGCTATAAGCTAATTCGCGTGCAATTCACCGTCCCTGCGACCACCCTGCCGTGGATTACACGGTGGAAATCGTCGGTAACGACGATCAAATTGACACTTGGCAAATTCAGCTTGAAGACGGTAAATGAGAAGCTTAAGTTGCACCCTAGTTATGAGCTCCCGGACCTTGAGATAAAGCCGGAAACCCTCTACTGTCCGACTGACAAACAGTCGCAAAAGTTACTCTAACTACTTCCTGCAGGTTGTAATATTTTGCTTAAAAAGCCATAAAACCCCATACTTTGGACAGAGAACAAGGCTGTCTGCCGACTTTAGATCCAGTTAGGTGTGGCGTTCGCCGCACTCGTAGAGGACTCAAAGGCCTGGTGGTGACCTGTCAAGACTTGCAAGTGCAGCGCACGCCTCAAGGTCGTGTAGGTGTAGAAACTGTCGGGGCACTGATTGATTCTGTCGCAGCTTCGCGCTAGAGGGAAAGAGCAGCAGCAAATTGGAGGAGTGAGCCATCAGTGATCGCATCCATACGGAGAACGCCTCTGGTGGATCTGACAGGTTATGTAAGCGAGGTGGGGTATCCATTTCTTAATCAGCAAAATGATACCCACTGCGTTGGTTTGGATGTTTAATGGGACAACGTAACCCATTCACCATCTTGTCCATGTTCAAGAGATTCTGCGAACTTATATACACATGCGTGCTGCAAGACTTTTGTAAATGCGCACATGATGTGATATAATGGCAGGGAGCGCTCACCAATCGTCCTTACGGAACTCACTCGTTCCGTTATGCCTTATGGGCTTTCTCTCGTGCCCGATCAGCAGCCGCACAGCGGCGCATGATATAGGCAGTATGTTATTACCGGGGGTGTAGGGGTGTCAGCGGTGGGTTCACGTGTAGGTCGTAGTGGTCGCTCACTTGCTTGCAGGTGAGACTACGCCTAGCGTCCACTTGCTGGCACTCAACTCTCACCTGTGGCTCCACGTAGCTGGGCTCTGCTCAGCGGCCACACCCCGGGCAACCGTCTCGACCGGCGGGCTAAACCAGGTGGGGGCGGTTACTCCCTGTGCGCGTTGTGCCGCGTGCACAGGTTACTGCGGACTCCGTGGACGGTTGGTCGGATGGAACACCGCGTCGGCGCCGTCGTGACGAGGCT